TTCAATTTGTGTTTAGTTAAAAGAGTTTCTTTGAGCAGAATAAATTTTTCTTCATTTTACAAGTGTCAAGGATTTTGTTTATTACTTATTTTTTTGTTTTTTATTTGAATTTATAAACTGATCTTATTGTCAATTCCAGGAAGAAATTTTGGCTAATTTGTTTACATTGTGTCATCCGGAAATGCTTAAACTTAATTTTACCTGTTTATGATGTTTATTTCTCCTTCTTCCTTCGGCTTTTCCACAACGAATCATCCTCCTTATCTCCTCTTAGGCCTTTGTCAGACCTACTCCTCACTTCCTCCAGGACCACCCCTACTCCATTTCTCTTTCTATCCACACCCTGATAAAACAGTTTGAACCCAGCACCAATGCTGCTAGCCTTGCTGCTCTTCCACTTGGTCTCTTGGACACCTAAAACATCTACCTTCCTTCTCTGTATCATGTCAGCAGCTCTCTACCTTTGCATGTCTGTGCAGTACGTTTGTTGTCAATTTACCTCTGTCCTTCACCCGCTTAGTGAGTGGCTGTCTGCCATCTTCATCTTCCCACACAGCGAGCTGTTCCAACAATACCTCCAGCTGACTCCCTCTGACTCCACCTCTCGTATAAATTCGGTTGATTACCGCTCGTACACGGGATGTCCCCCTCTGGCCCTCTGGCCTTGAGTTTCAAACCATTGCTGCAGATCAACTGTTCCAGAGGTCACTGCCTCCTCCTTTACCTCTGCCACTGATTGAACACACAATTGTTTTTTTGTTTTTTTGACCTTGCTCTCTTATCCCCCTGTTTATGTCTGGCATCCGACAGCTGTGGTTTAATCAACTGCTTCCTCATATTGTCTAATTCCGCCGCCTCTATCTTTCTGGTTTTGTTTTTTAGTTTAAACGATGTATTACATTTCTCCTAGTTTAAACGATGTATTACTTTTCTCTCCCACCGTTCAGTGACTGAAAATGGCATTCAGATCTCCTCCTGCCAAGATCACCCCTAAAATGAGAGCATTAAAATTGTTCAGCCAATGACCTCCTCTCTGCTCAACACCTCTTACCCCCTGTCAGGCTGCTTCCTAACCTGCCTGATGATGTACCACCTCCAAGCACCTCCTGTCTCCTCCACTGTTCCCGTGAATGAACCCTTAATAAACAGTGTGGTTTTGTTTGCCTATCGGACTACTGATATTCCTGACCTCACCCACGTTTCGTCTTAACTTGGTGTTTTCCACAACTCCCTGTCTGACAGTCTGTCCATCCATCACCTCGTTCCTTCTCACGCGGAATGTATTACAACAGAGTCCGTCTTCCTCCCTCTTTTCAGCTTTATTCAGCTTACTTCAACGTTTTTGTACTTCTACTGACTTATTTTTGCTAATTTCTGAACATTGTGCTCCTTTCAGCTAATGTTTGGAAGATTCAGATATTTCTGCTTACATTTCAGATATTATTTAGCTGTTTCATGCCAATATCAGCTAATTCCACCTTTCTTTTAAATTAATCCAACTTTTACAGCCTAATTCAGGAAAACCAAGCTCTACCCACTTACTTCTGGTAATTTAAGATTATTTCTGCTTGTTTTAGCTATTGGTCAGCTGGTTTTTAGCTAATTGCCTCTTTTTTAGATAATTACCATATTTTGTGCGCATTTTCTACTTATTTCATATTCAAAATTGTTCCCTATCTTTTAGATTGTTCACCATTATGCTCCTAACTCTCTGATATTGATCCTGTAGACTTTCCACAGGAGTCACATGTTTCTCATTTATGAGTACCTGATGACAATGTTCACACAATCAGGCATTCAAATCTTTTATTGTCATTCACTGCTGGCCCCGTTGTGACAAAACAATTCACAAGTCTAGACTTGTCTTTGCCTTATACAACAACGCCCCCTTTCGGTCAGGATATGGAAGTTCCACTCACCACCTATCTGAACAGACACACACACAGAAAAAAGAAAAAAACTAACCCTTCGCTTCGCCCCCACACACAGACTCACTCACTCACCCACTTTTTTCCTTTTTTTTCGTTGTGTTTTGTCTACCTCAACCCCCCCGGCCTTGAAGCCTTTACAGAACATAGAAAACACGGCACAAATAAAAGTTATTACAACGTCCTAACCCTAATGTGATCCCTAACCACATGAAATTTGGCAAAACTAACTAAAAGTCCCAGACTTGACATTTCCCTTTGTACTAAATTATTAATGGCGTCTTTTTAGTGGGCAGTCCACACTCCACAACGCAGACGCGAACGTAGCTCCGAGTCCCCGACTCGATTTCCGTCTCTCTCGTCAGAGGGACGGCTTGTACGCCACCACCGCTGAAAAAAGGGAAATGTATTTACGGCAGGTCCCCGACCCCCCTCAGTCACGAGTCCCACTCGCGGCGGGTCCCCGACCACCTTCCGTCACGAGTCCCACTCGTGAAACTATCTATTGCGGTGGGTCCCCGATCCCCTTCCGTCACGAGTCCCACTCGTGAAACTATCTACAAAATACACGTAAATGTTAAACTAAGCCGTGCAAAGGACACGCACGCATACGCACGCAGCGTGTAACGCCCAACGTGTCTGAATACGCGTACCCCGTTCATCAGAAGTACCACTAATCACCGTAAATTAGCTTAACAACCATCTTTATTTCCGGAGATGGTATTAAACACCCACAGAGGAAGATTTAATTTGGTTTACGGCCGAATAGCGGAGTTTTTGGGCCTTTCGGCCAACTTAGGTAACCCACTTACCTGTTAGTAGAATATAACGGGCCCAGTTCTCTCTGCGGGTGTCCAGCACCAACTCGATCCAATCCGTGTGTCCGCCAGCTGGACGTCGGGGTCACCATCTGTTGTGACTTTTACCACAATCGTGTTCAAGACAGCTGAGACGGCCACCTTAGTTCAAAAGATTTATTTGACAAAGGGTTACAAGTATTCAGAGAACATTTAATCAAAATAACAATGTATGCATACACGGGCATTTACCGAACCTACCTGATCAGATGAGTTCTCCCAAGCAAATGCTGCTTCCTGCTTGTTGTTTCTGGTTTTTATCAAAGTTTGAGAAGGCTAGTTCTCTGATTGGTTTAGACCCTCGGTTGCTATGGATACGGTGCTCTGCTGCTCTGTCAAGGATATTAATGTCCACATTCCACAGATAAGGATTTTTATGGCTCACTGAAATTGGTTCTTTGTTTAGTTCTGTTTCAGTTTAACTTGATTATACCTTCATCCATCCATTTTCTTTACCCGCTTATTCCATTTTGGGTCACGGGGGTCGCTGGTGCCCATGTCCAGCAATCACTGTGCGAGGGGCGGGGTACACCCTGGACGGGTCGCAAGTCCATCACAGGGCCACACAGAAACAAACGAGACAAACAACCATTCACTCTCTCACTCACACCTAGGGACAATTTAGAGTTACCAATAAGCCTAACATGCATGTTTTTGGACTGTGGGAGGAAACCGGAGTACCCGGAGAAAACCCACGCATGCACAGAGAGAACATGCAAACTCCACCCAGAAAGGCACCTGGACCGGGGTTTGAACCAGGGACCTGCTCACTGAGAGGCAGCAGCTCTACCAGTTGCACCACCGTGCTGCCCTTGATTATACCTTTTTGATACCAAATGATTTGTGTTAAAGTTGTTTCTTTCTAGGAATAATTAATAACTATTAATTATTAACTAACTCCTGTTTATGTGTTCTTAATTGATCAATCTTATTATAATTGTGTTTCAGTTCAGTTGAAGCCACCCTGCCCCCATCTTGCTTAGTCTAACATCTGGTACTATTCACTGTGAAGATTAAACCTGTGTCCTCTCATCTAAACTGAAACCTGTGTCAAAACAATGATTAAAACGATTAAATGTTAATTGTTATTAACATAAGGACCTGAGGGTTTTAGGTGTTCTACCCGTACTCTATTTACTCAGTTAACAGAAAGAAGACTTCTCTCTCCTGTGTAGTCAGTATATTCCCCGCTCCCTGGCCCGCTGTGATTCGCTTGTAATATATCAAATGTGAACTTGTAAAATTATCCTTAGCTAATGTGAGATTATATTTAAAGGTAAAATAGTTAGAATTAGTAAACATTTTCTATAAATATAGTTCAACTCTTGAAGAAAGACACGCACACACTTTGTATAACATGACATTTGAATGCTTGATAGGAAATATAAAAAGGTATAAAAATATGAAATCCAACAATAGATAGATAGATAGTTAGATAGATAGATAGATAGATAGATAGATAGATAGATAGATAGATAGATAGATAGATAGATAGATAGATAGATAGATAGATAGATAGATAGATAGATAGATAGATAGATAGATAGATAGGTAGGTAGGTAGGTAGGTAGGTAGGTAGGTAGGTAGGTAGGTAGGTAGGTAGGTTGGTAGGTAGGTAGGTAGGT